TCGAGGCCTCGCCCTTCGCCTGCACCTGGGAGGCCCAGAAAGGCCTGCGGAAGGGAAACCCTGGCCGGAAAGAGACAATAGGCTCGGACTCGGTGGTTCTGGGGCCACCCAACACCGGACATCACCCCCTGCAAAATGGTGGGGCAAACAGTGGGGGCTGCAGCTCTGGAAACTTGGGGTACAATACAGTTGGTGCGATATGTCACTTTCAAGGGAGTTTTTGCTCAGAGAGCGCTGAGTTTATGTTCACGGTGGTGGAATGGTTTGGAAAAAGATAGTGAGAATGGTTGTATGACTTTAAAATTGTAATGAAGTCACCGATTACACACAGAGAAACTCCAACTGGTGCATGTTTTGTTGTGGAGATCTGAACCAGGCTAAAAACTTTTTTTTTTATGTTCCGCAAGGGTTCCCTCCCTCGCTGAAGCACCTTGCACGGTAACCCCAGGTACACTCTTGTCGAAGCTCGGGGCTGCCTGTGTCTCCCTGAACGAGCAACAGAATGAACATGACAGCAGCTGGGCCAAGTCACTGAGTGCATCACCAAGCCCTGGCAGGTGGGCCAAGCCTCGTCAAAAGCCAGACGCAGAGCCTCCTGTGCTCACGTTTCTGGGTGACTGGCAAGGACTCTGGGAGAGGCAGGGGAATGGGCAGAGAGAGGTCAGGTGGGACGCTGGAAAAAGGGCCAGGGATGCTGGCAACCAACGCGTCAGGGTACAAAGTTCCATTTGCCGAGTCCCCTCCGGGTGAGGGTCTGAGAGAACAATGGCTGAGTTAGTAAGAGAGCAGGGGCCTGGCCTCCTTCCCTGCTCCAAGCACCGTGGGAGGAGTCAGTTGGACTGGAGGGGTTGCTGCATGGTTAGGGCATCTGTGAGGCCTGCTGTGGAGCTGCCAACGGGTGCCAACTCCCTCTGATCTCCCGAGGACTCGCTGGGACTTGTCGGAATGTTAATCACGCAAGATGAGCCGACCTGAGATAATTACAGGGGTAAGCAGACCCGCTGGTGTGATCCTGGAACCCCGCAGGGCAAGGAGGACAGGCAGGAGCACCGTCAAACTCAAGGGTGGAACTGCCAAGCCCCTGCATCTGGCTGGCACTTGTTGGTGTGAAGTGATAGGGCTCAATGCATTAATGAATGAATTTTCCATAAGCCTCATGAAATTCTCCAAGAAAACTAGCATCTGACACTCAGCAGTCAAGAGCCCTGAAGCTCACAGACTCACCGCCAGGAGAACAAAGGGCGCCAAGGCCTCTGAGAACAGTAGAGTCTTGAGTGGGCAGGGTCTGGGGGCTTAGCTGGCGCCACTCCCCACCCAGGCCAGGCAGTACCCAGGCTTTCTGCTCAAATACTTCTGCAGTGGGAGCGTCCAGGAGGACGGTGGAACTGCAGGAATAGGTCAGCACTACGAAATAACCGAAGAAAAGGAGGATCTCCTGATTGGCACTGAACAATCCCATAGCCACTGGCTACACGCGGCTACTTAACCTTTAACTTGAAGTGATTACAATTAAATGCAATGAAAACTTCAGTTGCACAGGCCCCATTTCAAAAGCTCAACAGCCACGTTTGGTCAGCAGTTACTGTATTAGTGCT